GCCAATGAAGAAATGAGACGAAAGCGATAGCAACATACATTGTTACGAGAGAAGAGTACTCATACGACCGTGATGCCGCACCAGAATCAAAGTACTTATCGCTGATGATCTGTTTAAGCGGTGGCGATCAAGTACGACTTGAACAGCAAATGAAATTGAGCGATTTCTGAATGTAATAAAATGTAATATTGGCACTATTTATCTAAATTATGGACGAAAAAATATATAGAAGAAATAAAAAAATAATATAATTTCTATTGTATTTCAAAATTTATTGCAGTAAATCTGATTTTGGAAAAAAAATTTAATTATTGTGAGGTGAATTATAATATGTATTTGAGTTGGATATTAAAAATTCGTAGTAATAATAATCTCGAATTTTTTCTATAGAAAAAAATATATGTAATATATAAATATATGTTAAATATAAATATACATATTAAATCATAAATTTTTTTTGACACATTATGATATGTGGAAAGTAATGTATTATGAAAATATAAATATTAAAAATATTTTCGTATATATAAAATCTTTTCAATGTTCAAAACTGAACCTACTAATTAATGTCAGCATTATAAATTGGATAAAATAGTAAAACGAAAAGAATAAAGACTCGAATATAAAATGGTGAATATTTCAATACATAGCAACATAACGGTTGATTCAACCGATCCATATATATCGCGACTGTTGGTCTGACGACCATTGGAGCATAGAAGTCGGTCCATTATCAGCTACGAGCAAGATCGTTAAATCATTGCCGCGGTAACGGCAATTGCGCCCCTCGTGGTTCATTAACACCAACATATCACCTGCTATATCATCATAATATTGATTGTCTTACGACCAAAATGATCAATATCATTTTGTGATTTGAAGTTTGAAAGAGGAAAAGGTACAGATTCGTTTTTTTAATGTGCGCAAACAGAATAATTTTAATTATATAAAATTCTCTGATTAGAATATACACTTGATATGCACTTAGTATGCATAATTATATAGAGAATAATTCTGTAACAATTATTACATATATCTACATCATCACTAGTGACATTTTAACAATTAAAAATTCAGGATAAGGAACGAGTAATTGCTCGATGCAATGACTGTATATTCCATAATAATCAAAAAATATTCACAATGATTATATATATACAATATTTATATAAAAATCAGAAGAATATTGGTGATTCAAGTCGAAAATACCGATATATACATGTAATTTAGATAATTCAATTTATTTCTAGAGATTATAAATAAAAAATAAATCAGTCTTTCTTCCTTTCTCTCTTCAACATTTCATTCATTATTAAAAAGGATATTAAGAGCGAGTGAGAATTCGACAAGTTCGTGGGGCATTTCTTTGATAGCTTACAAAGAGTTATTTTATTTCGCGAGATTCACAGAACACAGAACAGAAGAAGCAGTTCACGTCCGTGGAGGAATGCGAATCGAAATACCTGACAATTCGATTTCAACACGAACAATACGAGCTGTTCTGAAGTTCAAAGCGAGATTGGATAGATTCGTCTTCGTGTTTGAGTACGTTAATTAAAGCATCACTATTAGAAACATTTTAAACGTGATAAAATAGTTATAGAGTATGTCGTTTTTTGTTTGTATTAAAGCATTGTTGTTTTATCGATATTATTTTTTTATAGAAGACGTTTGTATTTGAAATATGAAATAAGAGAGAGAGAGAAAGAAAGAGAAAATAATTTAGATAAAGCAATTTGTGTAATTATTTCAAATAAAATAATAATTTATACCTCTTTATCCTATACTAACATAATTCATATAAAATATGAAATCAAAATCAATGAAAAAATATAAGTTAAAATTTTTACTTTTGTTCGATTAAAATTAATATTTGTTTTAATAATTGTCATATTTAATTTGTTTTAATAGTTGTCATATTTAAATTATTTTTAAAAATTTGAGTTAAATAACTAATAAATTATGATTTGCAAGACGTTTGAAAGTACTTTCAAACGCATTCAACATTTCATTTTAATTAATATTTCTCGCGGATTACATATTTATTCTTTTCACTTTGCCATTATCTGGAATAATATGTCGTTTGCGATAGTAATTTGTTATCGTTCCGCGTAGAATCGTGGTGCGAAGGGTATAAAAGTTATCCCCGCAGCTCGTGCGCTCGATGCGAATCAAAGAGACTCAGTGCGACGCGACTGTGCTTTTCTTTTTGCTCCATTTTTCCCATCAGTTCCCTGCAATCGCCTTCGGTTCCTTTGAACCGCGCATAAGATGGTAGCGGAAAGTAAAATATTTCCGTCGTCGGGTTGAGACTGAATGAGACTGTCGCTCGTTTGACGGAATCGACGCCAACGTTTCCCACACCTTCTCTATCCTTTTTCGATTTTCCTTTTCCTCTGCCGCGTACTCTAATCAGAACGTCGTTGCTCTCCTAGCGAATTTTGCATTTTTGCCGCTGAATGGCAGGACTTTGCCGAGAGGAAAAGAACTCTCAGCCGAGGAAAAACCAACCCCGGTTCCAACACCGTGAAATAACTGACGACGCGTAATCTACTTCTTTTCAGTTTACTAGATTCACAATGGAAACGTGAGACTAAGAAAACCTAATGTTTATCACCTTCTGAACACGAAGCTTTATTAAATGTCTTCTAGCTTCTTTGTGATTTTCAATTTTCCGTGAACTTGCATTTCATTGTCGCAAACATTGGATTTTACAGAAAAAACTTTATTATAAATCTTTCGCATAGTTGCAATTTTTTCATTCAATTGTCATCGTGCGTAAATGAAGATACTTGAATAATTTTAATATAACAAAATTTATGTGTAATGAATTATCTCTTTTTTAGAGATGTTTTTTTAAACAAATTTATCTTCTACTGGATTTATTTTTAAGCTTATACAGATATAAATTATTATAAATTGAATTCGTAGCGGAAGCAAATGTTTTTTAAGCTATAAATAATTAGGAAAAAAGTAAAAAGAAATATAAATGCATTAGTATTACGTACAAATGCCGATTTGTTATTTTATATAAGCATTTATATTCTTGTATATCGCGATATTTGTATATTCAATCATTGTATATTCATTTCATGCATACGCAAATTATAAAATTTACTACAGTAGATAATCATACGTTCGCATAAATCTACGGCAATTAGAGTTGCATCGAGTAATCGCGAGTTTATCGGCAACACTAGCGATCGAATTAGTGATTTTTAACGAATGCTCGAAGTTCAGTGAAGCGACACATGAGCGGATTCTAATTGAAATTCTTACTCTGACAGGGATAGAGAGAAAGCACGAGGAAAGAGCGGACAACTTGAGGTATGCGATAGCTTTTAAATTGTGCTCTCTGTGTGTCCTCACTTTGAAAGCTCTTTGATCGGCAATGTCAAAGCCGATGTGCGCGACCGTAAATTATTATCTATCAATATTTCATGCGAAAAATCCATAAAGGTCCTCGGGATATCTGTCACGTATAGAAATAAATACTGATTGCCAATCTCGTTCTGTTTCCTATGAATTTAAGGATTGCAAAAATAATAGATATTTCATTTTTAATCGGTTTAAATAAAAAGTAGCCAGTATTAAATAAATCGATTTAAATAAAAGTAGCCAGTATGTAATAATAATAATATAAAAGAGGAATTTCTCCTGTATTTCTATTATTATTATTAAAGACATATAAGGTATAAATAAATTGTCTTGGAACAAATTTCATTTTCGCTGCTCTTTATGTTTTTCTTTAATGAATTTTCGCGCGTTTCATTCGCCTGATACATTCATTGATTTTCTCAATGTTCTCTTTAAAGCATAAAGCACGGATATTTATTTTCGGTTCTTAGCGTTCGCGCATTCCCCCGAAAATAAAGCGGAAACTCGACGATGAGTAGGATTCCCATTACATTCTATACAGGAAATAAATGAAACGCTTTTCGGGAGCACAAATCTAGTGGCAAATATTGAGAGAGGACGCGCAGCAAGTAAGAAAGACGAAGCACAGTGTCGCAAGATGCGAGTGTTCGCGAGTTGCAAATATTGGGAAAAGGAAAAGAGCTGCGAGGATTCATAAAACAACAAGCGAAGAAAGCAAAGAAAGAAAAGAGAAAGAGAAAGAGAGAGAGAGAGAACTCTCGTTAACCCGAGTGCTCGAGAACTATACAAATTTCTCGACGGAAGCTTCCGGCCGCACTCTTTATCGGAGAACTTTGCGCTTATTAAGAAAAATTTAGAAAGTTTCAGTTCTTTTATGTTAAGTTTTAGAACTGCCGCATTGTGGGCGTAGCATCCGATGCAACCGGAAATAACTGCGAATATGCGATTGTCGCGAAAGCAATCCTGCCGCACTAAAGCTTGATGAAAGCACGATCTAAGCGAAAATTGAAATATTTTTTTGCCTCAATGTTACTAAAAATTTAGTCCGTTTGATCACTAGCTGTGTTTTTGATTAACTAATGAGGAAAAACACATTCGAGAATTAAAAAAAAAATATTTACGTATTTATATATTTATTTAATAAAATATTATGCATATCTAAAATATAGTTTTATCAATTATATAATATTTTTATAAAAATTTTTTTTATATCTGTATCGGATTAGATAAGCTATACATGTAATCTTTATTAATTTTAAAAATTGAAAAATTTAATTTTGAAGAATAATATATGTCTTGTCCTTTTATTGAAAACTTAATTGTTTCCCGAGCTCCGCCACTTTTTTTTCATCCCAACTGTAATTACAATTAATCAAATGCGACATAAAATACTGAGCAAAGAATGTTTAAGCTACTCTGATTTAGAGCGTCGACCGTTAAATTAATCCTATGACGTAAAAAAGACGATATATTTGTTTGTCGATGAAGGTGAGGGAAAAATAGCAACAAGAAGAGGCTACAGAAATTCGCGAAACCGAGGGGAGAGAAAGGTCAGAGAGGCACATTTTCTGCGGCGGTTGTCACTTTAATGAGGCTATTATTCCCCAAGTTTGTATACGTACCTTGGACAAAGTGGTGGGATGAGGATAAAGGTTGACGAGGCAGCTTTGTCGTCTAAGTCGGTAGTCCCAACGTGTCTCCAAGTGCGGAATTTCCATGGTGTCGCAAATGCTTTGCACGTGAGACGCCGTGTGCGCGCTCTGCGGTCCAAAAATCGCCGCCACCCCGCCTCGTAGCAAATGGCACACTGTAACACACCAAGGAACTCGGTCAATAAGAATCGTTGTGCGACAAATACGTGAGATTTTTCTCCTCTCGTATCGAGGGATCTCTGCCATCGCCTCTGTTCACCTGGAAATTAATTTTATTATTAACAATAATTTTTTCAATTATGAATAAAACGACAAAAAGGGTTGTTATTCCCCGACAAAATTTTATTTTTTCTCTCTTTACCCTTTACATATAAGTTTTTATTTATTTTTAAATTTATTTACTCGCCCAAAAATGAAACAATGCTCGTTTATTTTTGTAAACAGTACGTTCTATTTTCCATCGCTTCAAAGCAGGCAAAATTTTATTCGCGAAATATAATTATATGATTATATTACGACTTTCTCGTAATGAAATCATTATCTTCGCACATGTACGATGTGTACGATACTCGGTGCAATATACGTACGTAGGTTTCATAAATATAGAATTATGCAAACTGAAATTGGGAGATAGGTAGGTAGCATCGTTATGTGGATCGATTAATTAGCCCGCTTCTATTATCATAATATCCACGTAGATGTGGGCGTAACACGCTGATACGCGAGCAAGATAAGCATGACGTGAACGCCGTCGGCAGCGTACTGTGATGTTAAGCTGAACGAAACGAGATGACCTGTCCCGTCATAATATATCGATCATACCACCGTTAACTAATGTGATTAGGGTAGTTTCATCACATCGACCATGTCATACGGAATCTGTTATCGATTAATCATCGCAACTCACACGCGAACTTAGTCGCGCGCGATGCAAGCGTGCACCACGTGTGCAGCTTGTCGGACGATCTTCCGGACTCACGAGCTCTCTCCATTCGCTACCGTGATAAATGACGGGGAGGTATTAGCGGAACATTCGCCAGAGGATCTTGTTGTCCACCAGAATCTTCCGCCGACGCGATGCATAACTCCCGATCAATCTCTCCCATTCACTCCCAATTTAATTTGGCGAATAAATGTTTTTCGTTTACCGTTCGCGCCGGCCGGTTTCGTTCACGTTACACCGCGTATCCTTTCACGGGGTAACTCTTTCTTCCCGCAACAATAAATCACCGTGTCGGGGCGAGCATTCACTCCAACGGCGAATATCGCGTCAGCTCCTCGTCCTTTTCGCACCGTTCGCTTTCCTCTCGCTCTTTGCGTTTCTCGAGGCGGCAAAACGATGTTACTGATCTCTGCGAGTTTCATTCTTTTCAATTAGCCCTCGTCGTCCGATTGTCCCGACGATTTCTCAGACTCGTCGACGCGGCTCCCGAAGTGTATCTTCGTCGAGTCGATCGCGGATAAGTCAAAATGAGAATTTTTTTGCTCGCGAACTTTGGGTAAACTCGGAGAGAAAATTGTCTCAGTGCGCACCGTCGAACATTTGGCGGAAGATTACTTTGAAACTCTATGATATCTTTCGTTAACAAAAAAAGAAAAAAAATGTTTCGTCGCGTCGTTCCTGAAGATTGCTGGATATAGTGGAAATTACCTGAAAGGGGTCGTTCCGTCTAATGGCGAATATCGCGAGTGTTCCGATGGCGATATGCTTGTCTCTTCTCGTTAAATTGGTATTTTGCGTGGCTGCTGCCATTTATTTTTACTCACACCAGTAATTAAATCCTGCGACACAAGCCATCCTAACGAACTGACATTAATTTCCCTCGTCTTTCCCGGTTTCGAATTGTGTGCGTGCATAAACCGCCATAATTTTCCCCTTTTCTAGCATGAAAAAAGAAACAGACTTTGAAAGTATAATCGACTCATAATCTCCAGTGTGATGTCGCCATTAATAATCTCTCTTACATATATTGTTTTGTATATATTCTATTAATTATATATTCTATTAATTCTATTAATGCCGATAATTATGTCGACTATTTTTTTAAAGCTGTACCAGCTTTCTCCTTTTTCGTTAAATTCTGCGTTTTGTTTACGATAATTTATATATTTATAAAAGAGGAAGGGGTTATCGTATTATATAATGTGGCTTACATTTGTAAAATAATAAATAGATAATATATATTCAAGCAAGTGTATATTTGTGGTACTATTTATATTTGTAAAATGATAAATAGATAACATATATACAAGAAGCACGTGTATATTCGTTTGATAAAATTAATTATATTTGATTTCCAACGAGAATTTGCAATGTTATTAAGTACATTATTAGCATATTATTATATATAATCTTCTATATCTTTCATTTTTAACATAGAATATTTCTCTTTGTTATGATATTTTAATAATACTAGAGATCATATAGCAAAATATTAATTATAAATTTTAAATTAAATGTAAAAATAGAATTTAGAATTAGACATCAAAAATTAGGATTTAATTACAGACTTATAAGAGAGAAAAAAATTAGTTATTCTTATTAAAATCCACTTAAAAAAGACATAATACGATAATAAATTTCTGTTTACGATCAAATATAATATCTACGTAGATATTTCGATATATCTCTTCTAATTATAAGTCGAAATTAACTTTAAATCTGACAAAAAATGAAGAAGCGAGAAAACACGCGTGAGTCCACTTCCATCAGCACAGGCGAATATATATTAATGGCATCGTCGTGTTTTCTGAAAATTTGATTAAACCTGTACAAGAGCATCAGGTCGCATGAGCAAAGCATATAAAAGCAAGTTATCACCGGGCGAGAGAGCGACAGTTTTAATCCGGAATTATCTTTTGATCATTTATTCCGAGCGAAAACCGTCTAATGTCTCTTGCGAAACACACAGAGGCGTATACACAGAGGCTGCTCCACCCTGGTAAAAGGATTGAGAAGAGAGTGATTGCGTATGAGTGCGTGTACGCGTATCCTCCCGGCTTTCCCTCCGCGCTTCATCCCCGTACACCTTACCACAGTCGGAATCTCTATAATCTGTGGGCAAAGTCGGTTTGCACGGGCATAGAAGCCTCAAAGTAATACCCGGACGATGCTGGCGGCGTTTTAAGGTTGAAATATGATATGCGCTATATTGAAATTCCGGATGCAATTTTGTCGGGACTGGTCCTGGGGCGATCTGCGAACGGCCATTCATATCGGTATGTATCGAGAACTCTGATTTTTTCCTTTTTTCTCCTCTTTTTTTCCCGCCTTTTGATCAGCATGCTGGAGATCTCGAGCATCCCTTTTCCAAGATGGGCCCGGAAATCAATTCGAGCTGCATTGTGGCCCAGGAACGATACGCGCTCTCATCTTTCGCTGGCTTTGAGATGCAGTTAAAGCGCGGGTCGCGCACACGGGGCACGGGAAAACTCTGTGTATCTATATCTATGTATTGTCGATGGTACTAACAATTCGACGGAGATAATACAAACGGCGAGAATTGAAGGATCAGTAAATCGCACATTGTGCTTCTGCGTAGCCGATATTTTATACATAGTGATCCCTACAGCCGGATCCGTTAGACCGAATTTCACTCCAATGCATATGCAATATACCTGATTGATTTTCAAAGTTATCTTTTTCCGAAAATAAAACTTCACTTCGTGAAAAAAGAGGTTTTTTTCCATTATTTCAATTTACTTTGGAAGGTAAAATTATTATATTTTTATCCACTTGATATTAGTAATATGATTTGAAAATGATACAGATTCATGCTTATAAAAATTAAAATATAATAATTTCAGCAAATATTCGAGTATTATAACAATTGCTCAAGCATAAATCATGTCATCTTTAATGGCAAATCATATCATGCTTCTAATTAAAAGCTTGTATCTGTTATATTAAAAGAATATTATCGCGATATGTCGCAAAAAAGAAATAAACTTAAAACAACAAATTTATATTCTAAATTCACATAATTTTTTTAATTAAAATATCGTTCTATAATAAATTATATATCAGATACTTAAGGGAAGATATAAATTTTGATGTATAAATGGAAACATTTTTTTACTTATGATTTAGAATAGTTTTATATGAAATTCATAAATTAATCTCTTAGATATTTTTCGATTAAATTATTATTCAGAAATTCTCATAAAAGAAATTCATAAAAAATATTTATATTATATAAAAATTGTTAAAATAATAAATTTTACATGATACACAAATTTAAGAAAACAATATATATTTTTAATATTAGTTTTTCACGATACAAAATGTATGGTTAATCAAAAATCAGAGAAAAATCAATCAAATCTAAAAATAGATAGGCTATGATATTCTAATTTCATTAGATAGTATTATATATCTCATGTTTTTTATTTTGATTACAAATGAGCAAATGAGCAGCATCGATTGTATTATTACGTACAATTGCTCGTTTTTCCAGAAAAAAAACAAGGAATAATCGTTCGCATTATAGTGATTTTTTCGTTTTATATCGTATTTAATACGACAATGGAAATGTAAGAATTTTGTAATTCACGAAATCTGGAATATTTTACCATTCTCTCTGTGATCTCTTTGAGATATAATGTTATACATCAGTGAATCGCATTGCAATCGTTCTTGGCATAGTGGTTTGACCTTCCTCCCTTCGTCAACATGAATCTGCATCTTCAGGCTCTTATCAAAGATGCCTGTGTCCATAAACCGCGCTTACTCTTCTCTGCGTTATAGACACCTTAGATACATAAGTCTAGTTCGTATGGACAAGTATCTGGATGTATATTGATGCGACGAAGTCGACATGGCATCCGGTTATATCATAGTCTCCTGGCTGTACGCGCAGATAAGATTATCGCTCGGTAATATATCAAAGCCAGTTGGCGATCCCAGTACCAAGTAATATCTAATTCCGCGGTCTTCATCCTTCCCAGGGTTCTCCTATGCGAATCTTAGTAATAGTGTCTGTTCTCTCATCGCCAACTGTAATTTCATCCTTTACCTCAACATCGCTAACGAATTTCGTGACAATAATACCATTCGAAGTTTATTTCTTTTCTTTTAAGCTAATAAAAACTGATAATTCTTATCCACGGTTCTAATTTAAAAAATAATAATTCAAAATTATCTAACCATTTATTC